AATGTCGGAGGGAATTGGTGCAGGAGTCGCAAGACCACGCACCAAACGGAAAGTTTTTCGAGCATCTTTGACTTATACTTAGCGATATACTCAGCGATATACTCAGGAATAGTCAAGCGGCACTTTAAGTAATCTGGTCGTATGAGATTAAATTGCTACTAGTGTAGGAGTGTAGAGAACGGCTGAATAGCCTAGCAGAACATAACCAAGTGCGTCTCATCTGGATACCCAGTCAAAAAGTTATAGTCGTGATTGAACTTGCTGATGAGTTCGACCGCTTCGCAGCATAGTGGTAGACCTGGGGATTAGAACCTCAGCAGCTTTAATTATGTGATCAACCTCCTACAATCAATCAATCAATCAATCTATGGGCACTATAGGAAAATATATATAAAAAAGTACTCCGACTTATGCCAACGGTTTTTACAGTCTTAGAAACACTTTTCACAAGCCATTTTTGAGATGGCCTTCAACTCCTACAGCGAATTTTGCTTTATCTTTTCAATCGGCTAAAAACGGGTTCCACGGAGCGGTAATTTCAGTTTGGGGAATAAGAAAAAACCGCAAGGTACTAATACCGTTTTTGGCTTTAAATTCGGTCAGAATCGTGGCTCAATCGATGGTGCATTATTATCGCGAAGAATCCATGAATTCTGATTCCACAATTCTGGCCATTTTCGACGGATGCAACTCCTAATTGACTGTATTTCCCTTCGAAATAAATTCATTATGCAGAAAACCATGAATATCGAAAAGAACAATGAACATCACCTTCATTTTTGTGCGGCTTCGGCGTGTTTTTTTCTTTGGTTTCGGCTCGTTTATTTCTTCCAATCCGCTGATTGTTGACTTATTTGCATGTAAAACTCATAAATCCATGTCTCATCGGAAATTATGACGCTTTCCAAGAATGTGGAATCGAAATTCACACGATCAAGCGTGTCCAAAGAAAGGAACGGTACTTTTTTTGAGTAAAAAAAAAAAAAATGCAGCTTTATCAAGGCGTGTCGAGCAAGAACGGGTTTCATACCCAAAATATCCACCAAAATCATTCGAATAGACTTCGACTTAGTCGAGCTCTCTTGCCATCTCTCTAAAACTTGCCTGAAGTTTTGAAGCACCATATTATTCACTTTTTTAATATTTTGATAAGTTGAAAATACCGAGAGTCGGCTAGAACGAAGCATGTCTTCAAGGATCTCTCGACAGTCTTTGAAGACTCTTGGCTTGTGTTATTGATAAAACTGAATCAGCGTAAGCCTTTTCCAAAACTGTCCTTAAATCCTTTACTGAAAGTTTAATTTAAGGATTTTGAATATTGCTTCCTTAAACTCGCGCTTTTTTGGCCACTTATTTATTTTTCATTTTTGCTCAGTCTTACTATGTACTCTAAAGTATTACCATAATATTATATTATCATAATTATGAAAGCATAAAATAAAGGTAATTAACTTCAGTAGCTATCTTGTACTTGCACACATGTTTCAGTATCAAAAGCTTCAGTGCTACACACTTACCCATCTAATCATTAACCCATCAGCATGGAGCACATCATTGTCATTTCCCCGTCATTGAGTGCCATTATCAATGTCGACAATGTACATATTGTCTGCCTCACTCAAAGTGTCTAAGTGATGTGGAAATATCAACTTAACTAAATATGAATATCCCATTTAAATTTGTACTTGTGGTCATGTTAAGCATACATATTTTCCACATCCAACCTTTTATTATTTACATCTTATCATCATCATCATCAATGATTGCATCTGCTTTATGCAAATTTAATAAACCACAAATGTGTTAGACTGTAGAAATTGTTGCCAATAACAGTACTCATAATACAATGAGACAGCAATCATTCATGCTAGCTGAGAAAATAGATGCGTAACGAATGAGGTTATGAAGACCACAGGGACAAATGCGTAGGAGCTGCATATATTTACAATATATATATATTATATTACACATAAGTATGTTCTATATATGTGAATTCGATTGTTGAAAACGCACGAAAATAGCAGGAAATATGTGTATATTTGTGAGCAATAATCGAAATTGAAATTTAGATACTTGCGTAGAGAAGAAGACGTAAAGCTGTTGTCAAATTAAGTGTGGCGGCAGCAATTATTGGTTAATATGGTAATTGATACATCATTAATTTCAAAATTAATTTTTACCTTGCAAATATAAAATATGTATATATAAAATCGGGCTATAGATACTAAATTAGAAGCCAGGGAGTTCTAAAAATATTGTAATCAGTCCAGTAAAGGCCTTCAAATATACATAATTTACAACAAACTGAAATTAAGTGAATATGTTTAAAACATGAATAAAAATCACTTAAACTCGTCATCGTTCCGGTATGTGGGAAAAGTTTACTCGAAAATTTAGCCAAGGCGAACACCTAGTTCAACAAAAAAAAAAAAAAAAAAAAAAAAAAAAAAAAAAAAAAAAAAAAAAAGAAAAAAAAAAAAAAAAAAAAAAAAAAAAAAAAAAAAAAAAAGAGAATAGAACAATCGTAACCAAAAATAATAATAAATTAATCCTAGATAAACATTTTTTATCGAACAGTAATAAAATGAAAATTTGACTAATAATTCAGTAACCTCCAGCTTAGCGAAGTTGCTCACCTTTTTCAGAAACGATTATTTTATAAGGAAGTTAAGGACTAAAAAAAAGCTTCAATGACTACACCAATTATATGAATCTCTTAACAAAACAATTATTTTATAAATTTTAGAAATTGAGAAGAGAAGAATGTTAAATTATGGTGTAATTTTTTATATTTTTTCTTATCTGTATTTAATACTATTAGGACTAGCTAATAACTGGATACTTGATTTCAAGTTTTTTTTTTATCAATTCGCTTAGACGTAAATAATTGTTATATTGCTTTATTTTTTTTTTTTTTGTACTGGGAATTGGCTAGAGTTTCGTGGCCTTCACTGGTTGAATGTTAATTAATTTTTACATAGTAACAGCGGTTTTAACTCCTATTGTTCAATAGGCATCGCGTGCGCATGATGAAAATAGTGCACGAAACAATTTAAATACTTTCTGAAATATTTCATGTATCAAAGAAAAAAAACATTTTATTTTCAGTTAATTTTTTATTTTTATTTTTTTTCACCTCCCATTAGCCTCGTAATAGTATCTTGCGTAACTTGTTTGCTTTATGAAAAACTTTTCGAAATATTGTTAGTGATGTTAGCAACTTGTTTTGTGCTTTTCATAGCCCTTTTTACGGGCATCCAATATCTTTCGATGGGTCTAACCTCCGAAAAGTTAGTTCTCATACCAATTAACCTCCGATTTGCTATAATGGCATAAAGCCAAGACAGACCAAGAAAAATAAAGACACTTTATGCAGTCTTATGAATGGCAAAAGACGTCTTTGCAAGCACTCCTTGATGTATAAATCCGTGTTAATAGTGCCAGTTGTAACAAAAGAGTTGCTTCTTTTACCTTTGCTTGCCAAACCAAAAATTTTTTTGACAATTTTTTACTGTTTTTGTATTTTAAACTTCTCTTAGACATTGCCTCCATGATCTGTAAGATAAAAATCCTTGAACCAGAGAAAAGAACCAAGCACATTCATCTCATTATTCATAATGCAGTAGTCGAAAGTTTTGAAGAAGTCATGACTCGAAGCTTTTGATTCGATTTTTTCCGGATGTTCTTTTTAGAATTCCTGCCTGAAACTTTCAGATCTTCGTAATATAAGCCTTGCCTCCTTTGTAACTTTTCTCAGAAAAGTTTCACAAACACTGTAGCTTTTACGCTACTTCTCCTCCCGATGATTTGGGATTTTTAATAAAAAGCGCTTTTACCTTCTTAACTACGTCAGGGTTCTTGAAACCTTTCGTTGTACCACTTTCTTGCTTCCTATTGAATGTTGGATCTTTGCTGAAGTTTTTAGTAACGCGTGACACGGTATTCCTGGAAACATTTTCTTCTTTTGCAATTGTTTTCATTGTGCAATTTGGATTTTCGTTATAAAATCACATAATTTTTTCCCGCATTTCTGGACTACACATTTCGACAGCTCCATGTACGTAATTCAATTGCAACTTGACAGGAGCATTGGTTTATATTATATTTTGCAAAGTCACCTTCATGTAAAAAGCAAAAAAAAAAAAAAAAATAAAAATCAAAATTGAAAGTTTCGCAAATGGCAATATATGCACCAATTTTATCGTTGGCAATCCTTATACTATGAGGTTAAACATCTGTCAAGTTTGGATATATCATAGAGTTTCTTCCCTCTTATATTTTTCTGGTTTGACAGAACTCGGTTGAAATCTGTTATCTAAAGTATCTAAATCTTCTAGATTTTAGAATCTAGCTACCCAGAAAAGCATGTTGTCGAAATCAATCGTCTGAGCAGATTTATGTTGGGTTCGAAGCCCTTTGTCGATAACTGAGAATACTTAACCCCTAATTATGATTCTTTGATATCAGATAGGACAGGTCAGCAATTGTACATTTTTTTTTCACTACGATGCGTTATCGTCTCCCTAAACTTTAAACGACTTTCTTTGTTCTCGAAACGCTGTTTTCAGGTCGGTAAGGAAAAGTCTTGTCAGGTAATAGGTTAAGCAATAAGATTTTTGATAATTCATTTGATTTTTTAAGCCAATCGAAGTGTGAATTTTTCCAGAAAAAACTTCTTGTTTTGGGAAACCGCCATTTTGTGAAAAACTCAAAAAATTGCCAGTTCCTTCTATCATTACTTGTTCACATATTATGGTAGTATACTTTTCTGATTTTTGATTTTGAAAAATCTCTCTCAGCGTTAGATACTTTTGGCGAAATCATTCACGAGAAACGATTTTCTTACGCATTTGCAAAGAGATATGATACTTCTTTAGTTAACATTATTCATATTTTGACAAATTATAATCGAAAAATCCTTATCTGAGTATAATCTAGGACTAGGACTTAATTTTTTATCTTAAAATTTTTCTAATTTATACATATTACTCTTTACTTACGGTCACTTGTCCATTTGGCGTCTCTGGTGGTTCCCATGTTATAACCATTGTTGAGGAACTCAGCGGTCGGACTTGTACATTGCGTGGAGCGCTTTCCATTTCTGTAAATTTAGAGTAAAAATTAAAGTTTACTAATTTTTATATTAAATAAAGATTTTCTCCAAAATATGTTTAGCTATATTTTATGAAATTAATTAAACTGAAACATAAAATTTCACTTTTCGTCTCACAGCGCTTTACTGCGTGATTGTGTCTTTACGTGTGTTTGTGCGCAATTCTCAACTTTTTCTTTAACAAAAAAAAAAAAAAAACACTTGCAAGGCCCACCGCCACAAACGTCAAGCCATCAATCATGCCATTAAAATTCAATTAAGCAATAAATATTTCAACAAAGAGACTTTACGACCCTTTAGCAGGGGTAAGCGGTTAAGTAAGATGAAAATCCATTTAAATCTGATTTTATCAATTATTTCCCTTATTAACACAAAAATTAATTCAATTATAAACGCATCCATTGACTTGGCGCCAACGCGGCTATCAACGCTTTCCTTTTTTCTTTCTCAATATTGATATATATATATATATATGTGCTTGTACGTCGACGTTGTGCTCACTCCGCCGTTGAATGCATTCGTCATTTCTTATTTTAACTTCAATTAGTCATTATGCCACTACAGCGTAACCGCAGCATCAATTACGTGCAATTAAAAGTGACACGAAGAAGAAGAAGAAGCAGCAGCAGAGCGCCATCAAATCAATACAATCGCTTGTAGCTGTGGCAAGCAGCTAGCAGCCGGTGACTGGCAGCAGGCAGATGTGGCTATTTGTATGTGTGTAAGTTAGTGTATATATTTCACTGTGTTTGTTAGGAATCAGCTGGCGCCCTCTATCCATAAACCAACACATGCACGTGGCTAAAGCATGAACTGTCAGCCATGAAGCAGACAAGCGATAGCAAGAGTCAGCCAATCAGCCAAGCGAATAACCACTTCCTCCACTGCCAATTGGCATACATACATACGTACGTATAATAGGAAACGGAAGAGGAAACAAAGAACCGCAACGCAATTGAAGCGCATATCTACAGAGAGTCACACACACATACACACAGCAGCACGTTTATATGTATTTATAAGCATATTTGTATGTCTGTATGTGTTTTGGTGCGCTTGGCCAGGCAAATGGGCACATCAATTAATGGTGACGCTGTTGTTGTATTGCACACTGTTCATTAATTGCTAATTAAAAACACTCACAAAAATATACACACATACCAGCATAATATAAGTATGGCCATACATGTATGTACAGCAATAATTACACCCATACATACGAAAATTAAGAAAAAAAAATGCAGCAATAACTCTGATTAAAAATCTCAAAGGAGCGTCAGAAATGTACCGTTGAAAAGAAGTCGCGAGAAGTCAACTGCCAGCGCAATCGCTAAAAATGCGGAATATTTTATTGAAATGTAAAGGTATGCGAAAAGTACAAAAAAAAAAACAAAGCAAAAGCTTGCCGCTGATAAGAGTTGTAGGTTGTTTAAGTGAGATAAGAAAAATAACTGAGGTAATAGGCAAGTTTTATGAATTTCAATTCAAACAGAGAAAGAAGAAAAGAAAACATAGGCTAAGGCGAACGTAAAACAGAAATATGATATAAATTAAGCATTAGCAGCTGCCAATTAGACGATATATTTAATAATTCTAATTTAAGTAAAATGCTCTGGCCTTTAATGATTTATTGTGTATCCAAAAAGCAATAGAAAACAAAAAAGGCACAAATAAACAAGTTTTCTTTGATTTTAATCGGTCGGTTTGAATGACAACTAACCGGCTTTTCAATAGGGATGCTACAAAATTCCATGTTTTTTCACGCTCTTTTGACACTTATCTTCAGTAAGGTTTGTCATTTCATCATGGAGAGATATACGATCCAACAACGTGTGGAAATTATTAAAATTTATTACAGAAAATCGGAGTCAGTGGACTCAACTTTAGCAGCCCCACGTCCAATTTATGGTCGTCATAATCATCCTGTGAGAAGAACAATTGAGCGTGGAAAAATTTGAAACTTTCGGCACAGTACAAAATGTTCCCGTGCCGGTGAGACAAAGAAGTTCCCGTAGTGGCGAGAATATAGTTGCCGCTAACGCATTAATTGAGTAAGACCCAAATAAGTCTCTCACACGTCGTTCTCAAGCGTTGGGACTTCGTTGTGGCGAATTTTTCTAAAAGATCTTGGCCTCCGCTCTTACAACATCAAATCAACACAAGAACTGAAGTGATGTGACCAGGAGAATCGTCGTATGTTAGTAAATTGGACTGAGAAACAATTTGTAAATTTTGCGGAATTTCATCGAGAAATCATCTTCAGCATGAGGCTCTGCCATGTATTATGAATACATCTTATCAAATAAAAAAGTTTTCCATACAGGAATTTCATTTTGATCGATCAGCTTATTCGCGACCTGTATGCACGCAGACATGCAGAAGAACATGGCTAAATAGTCTAGATAATAACTAGATTTAATAGATCAATTGTCATTTATCATTGGATGGCATTACCTTGTCCACGATATAAATATTTGAACTTCTTTTTCTGACCGCCGAAAGTTGCCCAACTTGATTGGATAAATACTATTGACATATTCTCTTCGGTTCTAGTTCCAGTTTCGCTAGTTTGGGTTTGATACAACTTGACTTATGAGATATACACAGATATTTGTATGTCCATAGAATTTTCTAGAGTTCAGAGCTATTACGCGTTACTTGGAGATCTCTCGATGGTCTGATGTTTCAGGCTGTTCTTAAGACATAGTAGTTTATGTTAGTCTGGTAGGATAATGAGCCACACATAGACTAGTTTTAGTCCATTGCTATTCTAAGAGGATTTGCATTACGTCTCACGGCAGATATCTCTGCCAGTGACCCATACAGTGGGCCCACCAATGCTTAAAGCGTAGCCTTGCCAATGTGGAACAACTGCTAAAAAGTTGCTCCAAGACATAATCGACATTGTGATTGATATAACAATTTTTTTCGATCACAATTAATTTTTAATGTGGTAGAAACGCTATTACTTAAGCAGAGCCAAGAAGGCGGAAGTGTACTACTTGAAAAAGTAGAGGCCATCCTTCATTATATGAAAGAAAGTGGCGAAAAAAGTAATTTTCTTTATAAATTCATAGTAATCATCTAGATGAAGCAATGCTTTCCATGGAAATGTAACGACACTCTCCTTTTCTGTTAGCTGAGTAATAAGTGAGTTTTGTCTTAACAAGACCGTCTTGATGGATAATAAATTTTTCTTAAATCTGTATCAATATTGTTTCCATAGCTAACATGGAAAGAGCCGCGATCTAAACATAGTAATTGTCAAGAATTTTATCTAATCACTCAAAATAGCAGTTCGATAAGCTAAGAGTGAACTCAAATGTACAATTCGTATATTATTTAAACACTGTTTCAATAAAATTTAACATACATATTAGGGAACGTGTAATCTAATAGTCAATATGAACGTGTAGTCTAATGAGGTGCTACAGCTTTAAGGGGATGCATTGGTTTACGGGTTTCAAAAAATCAAAATTAAATTTATTGTCTTATTAAATTTTACAACACTTTCAAAATATTGTTCTAAATTGTCAAGTTGTACTTGAATCAATAGTTTAGGGGATAAAGCCTTGAGAACTTGTGCGCTCGAGGAAACTGTGTTTTTTTAGTCGGTTGGCAAGATATCCCGAGAACTACTCCACCGATCTTCAATTTTTAAAGACTTGCACGTGGGTATTTTTTCGATTAAAAATTTTTGAAAACAAGTTTGCCAAAAATTTAATTTTTTTTTTGAAAAATGTCTGCCAAAAATCTATTTTTCAGTTTTTTCTTTCGTCCAAATTCTAAGGTAAGGTTTTAACTAAAATACGTGTTTTTTAGGCGTTTTAGCGGTCACCTGATATGGCATCGCAATGGCCGAGTTAAATATATATTTTTCCAAAAACTTGAGAATTTCGTTGTTAATAAGGTACGTTTGTAAAAATAAAAGTTCCTAATCAAATATTTCAATTGTTATATGAGAAAAAAAAATGTTGAAAAAAGATTGCCTTTTACCCGAGGAAACCCGTGTAACCCCTTAAACTCTTCGCTGTAATTTATTTTGTCAGCTGTAATGGCCGGCGCATTTTTTCGTATAAGTTCATATATTTCAATAATTCACTGTTCCATTTATCAAGCCAAATTTACTTTGTTCAAATCTCTGTGAAAAATAATACTTTATTTTGCTTATTTCGAAATTCTTTCGGTAGAATATCTCTATTTAGGAGTTAGTTGTTGGCTGCACTCATTCTGTTATTAAAATCAATAATCCTATTATATTTGCCTTTCATTTTATGTGTATTTTGTAAGTATTTAATATTTAAACAACTGTTATCTAGTCTATCATGTGTCTGATTTCAAAAATGTTGAAATGATTTTATTTAAACTTTGCTGATATGCGCTTACGTTTGTATATACATATATGTAAAAATACTATATATACATATATTTATTGTGAGCGTAAAAGAATATTACTGCTGTAATGAAGCCGACATTATTCGCAATGCTAAGCTTACATTGCAATGCGCCTATTGTTAGGCTACATTTTGTAAAAGCTTAAAGTGCAAATCGCCAGCAAATAGGCTACATATTTAGCAATTTTTTCTAGTTTTAGTTTAATTCATATTTTTGTATACATTATTGTGTTGTATGCAGTTGATTTATGTATATTATATGGCATATTATGTGAACAATTAAGGAGCGGCTTAGAGTTTTACTGAACATTATAAAATCATCTTTAAGTGAAAAATATTAAACCGATGATTGGAAGTCATTAATTTCGGTATATCAGGTTTGATTTCATTTAAATTCAGCGCTAAGCTACACAAAGCCCGTTTAGTTCATTACAATATTGACCAGCATAAACGGTTTTAAGTCAATTGCTAAGACGGATACAACTTAATCGGATATATTGTGGTTAGTGGACGATCTGGATTGGTGGCTTTAACGTTTGCTAGTAATCAAGTATATTCGAGAACGCGTCAACAGGCAAATATGTTGGATAATAA